TAGACTATACTTATTCTTACACCATTAGTATAACTTTTTCACCTTTATATAATAAACTTAACAAAACATAATGAAAGAGAGAAATATAAATAAACAAAATAAGAACATAAATAAGATATAAATTAACTAAGTAAAAGAAAGGAAATGAAAAGCATAAACAACATATTAATGAAAGCAAACTTAAGCATTACAAAAATATAAAGAAAGAGAGCAAGAACATGATCTTGATCTGAAAATCAAAATGCTTAAATGCATGGCAAATGCCTCATTTTCTAGGCCAAAATTAAGAACTATTGATTTGATGACTAATTGTTGAGTGGGTGGCCAATTCTTGACTTAGTGACAATCCTTATCTTTTTATTTGAAGAAAATATCATTATTAATGTCAGAATTCAAATAGCTTTGAATCATGAAAGTTCTAGAAAATTAGTTCAGCTTTCTAGCGAAAAAACATTAAGGTCATTTAAACTTCCAGAACTCAAGATATGGGTTGAATACTTAACAGTATCTGAGCTGCAGGATAGATTCAGACTTCTCAGTTGTTACTAAGATTTGGACTTCCATACATCAGAATTGAGTCTTGCATTCCTATGAATATTTTAAGCCTTTATCTTAGCATTCTAGACATATAAACCAAATTAAAATTCAAGATCTACAACTTCAAATTTAACCCAATGATTGAATAGTATTATAGTTTAGACCGAACCAACTTCACTTTTCTAAACTTCACCCTCTCTTTATCTTCTCAATTTCAATAGTTGAATTCATCAATCAATCTTTTAATTTATGTGATAGGCCTGTATTTAAGATAAATATTTGTCATAAATTAAAGGTATCTTATAGTATCAAACTTGTTATTATAAAACATGCTATAGTTGAGTTATTGATACTTAAAGTGCAAAATGCTGATATAAAACTGTAATAAAAATACACTTTTAAGTACTAATCACGCTTCACTGCAGAATGAATATTTTTTTTATGTTTGATGAAAAAAAAATTTAAAGGTAAATAATGGTTTGTAGAGCATAGCTTTAGAAAAAAAAATTAAGGTTTATATAATTCACTATAAACTACAATATATCAAATATAGTGTAATTAAAAAATTAATATGTCAAAAAAAAAATCAAGTCCCAAGTCATTGGTTCAAATAGTCAATTAAATAATATAAAAAAACCAACAATAATAAATAAATTTTAAAAAATAAAAAATAAAAACCACATCTGAGATATTCAGATTATTTAACTCAATGTTAACCTAATTGAAGGAAAACCATAAAAAAAAAAGTAAAAGTATATAAAAAAAAAACCCCAGCTTAATTAAAAAAGGGAAAAAACCAAGTAATCCTAGACGAACCTTCTAAACCTAGTCTAATATAAAAATCCTACAACTTATTAACTCATGGATACAAATTCAATAAATAAGCTTAAATTTTATTCAATTTAAATTTGAATGATGAAATTGTTGAAAAACATAAAAAAAAAAACTTATGAAAGAAAAGGAACAGCACAAAAATAAATGGGGTTAAAGTCTAACAAGAAGAAACCCAACGAGGATAAAATTTAAGAAAAATAATCCTAAACAAAAACAATTGCAATTAAAAATTTAGGATCAAATTTGAAAAAAAAAAAAAACATAGGAGGATGAAATTGAAAATCATTTATAATAGGGTAGATTATTTATAAATTAAAAAATAATAGGGGTGAAATAAAAAAATATATTGAGGGCTAACCCAATAAAATCAAACAAAAAATAACAAAACAAAAGTTTAAAAAGAGGATAAAAAATAAGAAAATATCAACTTATATATATATAAAAAAAAAACCAGAGCAAACCTTTTAAACCTGATCTAATCTCTAAAAGTTATATATTATGAAATCTTTAACCCATATTCAATCAAGAAGCATAATTTTCAACTTAGCCAATCTAATTTTGAAGGATGATATCAATAGAAGAATATTAATTAAAAAACAAAAAATAAGAATAAAATTTAATAGAAAAACACTCAAAGAGAATGCAATTTAATGAAAAACAATAATAAAAAATAAAATAAATAGAAATTAAAAAATAAAGATCAAATTTAAAAGATCAAGAAGTTTATTATGAGCCAATTCAATATAAATAGAAATCATAAGGGGTGAAATTGCAAAACACATGTGAAAATCAAGTGAACTCGAACAAACATTCTAAATGTGGTCAAATCTAAAAAAACTCGTACTCTATGAAACTCCAGATTCGGTCTAATCAAGAATTTTATTATAAGTTAATTTAAAATTATAGATTTTAAAAACTTGTCAAAAAAAAAATAACAATCAAAAGAATAACAATCAAAAGATAATGGATTAAATTTGATAAGAAAAAAAAATGAAATCATAAAACAAAATGAAGTTTTAAATAGCCAACAAATTAAAGGGTTGTTCTTCAATTTTGAAAGATTAAAAAGTATAATAAAGGTAAAATTGAAAAGACATATAAATTTTATTGATCATTCAAGATAAAAAAATCATAATAAATGAAAAATTGACCAAATTTGAATAGCCAACAATTAAAGGTTTGTTCTTCAATTTTGCAAAGATTAGCATAGAAATCTAGATGGGAAGAAAAAAAAGAATAGGGAAATGGTCGCCAGTGTCAAACCGCTATGAATGGTAGCACACATACCATCTTATAGGGTTGGGGATACCGAGACCATCCAAGCACCGCCCTAAAATGTGGTGTTTGGTGGCTTAACAGCCCCTCACATGTTGCTAAAATGGTGCATGGGTTATTCACACGTTGACGTGTGCAAAATTTTTTTAAATTATATTTAATAAATATAATTTACAATAATACCCTTAGAACCCTTGAGATTTACACAAAAGCCCTTGAGTAGTAGACATTGGATTATTTTATTCAAGGGTTAAATGAGTAATTTTACTGTGTTTTAAAAAATATAATTACTAAAATAACCCTATATTAAAAAATATAATTACTAAAATAACCCCACATAACCTTTAAAAGATTAAAGGACCAAGGAGCAATATAGTAATTATATTATAATTATAATAAATACTGAAATGTATCTCAAGATAGTAATTTCACCAATAGCTTTAATGTTTTTTATAATTTAATTTATTTAATTTAATTTTTTTCTAGAAGTTTCTGTCTTTTTTTAGAATTGTGACCCAAGTAGAGATCAGCTAAACTTTAATTTTAAAAAAATAATTTTTTAAAAGATATATATTATTTTAATATATTTTTAAATTAAAAATACTTTAAAAATTAAATACCTCTTACAATCAGAACCTTTCCACGCAAGAAAAGTGAATTGGGCATGAAGTTTCAGAATGTGCGTAAATTGGGCTAAGAGGCCCAAACAGATTGGGATGGACTAAGTATTTCAATAGCATTATGAAAAATAAAACTTAATTTCACAGTTGCTTTCATTGCAAATAATACTGTTATATTTTAAAATATTTTTTATATTAAAATAATATTTAAAAAAAAACTTATTTTAAAAACTAACACATTAAAATAATTCAAAATAAAAAAATAAAAATTTAATTTTTAACCCAAAAAAATCTTGAAAACACGATGTCACCATGTTTTCAAGCATTATGATGGTACAAGATGTAAACACGTCATCAAGGGAATGAAAGGTGCGGCTGCAAATGTCCTTGAACGTACTTAATCAAGTCATATATTTTATTTTATTAAAATTTATTATAGATATTTAGAAATATTATCATACGAAATATTTTAATGTATAAAATTACTATTAATAATTTTTATTTAAATTTTTTTATTTTTATTTTTTAACACATAATAAATACATTCAAATAATACTTAACAGATATTTTAAAATAATACATTAATTGTTTTGTAAATTAATTAATTAAAAAATAAGTTCTAACTATTAAATAAATTTCAAAACAAAATATTTTTTTATTTTATCATAAATGATATTTTTAAATTAGTTTATGTATAAACCCAGAGTAAATCTCGTGTTTCAAATGGCATTTCATTGAAATTTAATTTATTTTTTTGTTAAAAATTGTTTTTTTATATTTTTTGGATATGATTTAATATAAATATTTATTTTAAAAAAATAAAAAAAATATTTTGATATATTTTTTGAGTTAAAAATATTTTATGATGTATAAAAATAAATTTAGTAAATTATTTTAATTGATAGTAAATACTGTTATTGAATTCATTCTAAAAAATTATTTCCATAATTTATCAACTAAACTCTTAACTCAGCTCAGATGATATTTTAAATTAAAGTAGATAGAAGTTAATTTAATATTATCTAAAAAACTGGATAGAAATAAATAAATAAATAATATTAAATAATGAGATTTCGAAAAAATAAATAAAAAATATTAAATAGTGTTATTCTCTAGATTTATTTAAAATATTAAATAGTGTTATTCTCTAGATTTTTTTTTTTTTTTGGTTGAGATTATTTTTATCCAGTTACCCAAACGCATAACCTGGACTTTCGACGGAGTCATGCAATGTGTGGAATTTAAACACGAACGTGGATAACAAAATCTCTAACAAAACCATGAATTTAAAGATTACGTACGCAACGAAAACAAAGACATTTTTGTTTCAACTCTCCTCTCCCATCCTGTCCTCTCCTACCAGTCTTTACCTGACATCATCGTCCAGAATCTAGAGAGAGAAAGATGTCGTGCTTGTTGACATGCTTCTCATCTTGCTGTGCATCTCTGACATGTGGCCTCTGCACTTCAGTGGCTTCTGGGATCTCTAATAGATCCGCAAGACTTGCTTACTGTGGTCTCTTTGGTGCTTCTTTGATTCTTTCTTGGATTCTCAGAGAAGTTGCTGCTCCTCTTTTGGAGAAAATCCCTTGTTAGTCCAATTTTTCACTGCCCTCTTCATTTTATCTCTCAATTTTTCAGTTTTGTGTGACAAAGTTTGATTCTTTTAGCTATTAATGATTCTGGAATTACATAATTACAGAATTTGCGAAGTCAATTGATAATTTTTTTTTTTGTGTTTTCCAATAGTTTTGATGATTTTTCAAGATGCAAGAGGGTTTTCTTTATTTAGTAGTTTCTTGGTAGTTGGGGGAGTATCGTAATTCAAAAATAGGTCGTCAAAGCTCTTGGATTTCTATGCAGTCATGTTCTTCTGACAAAAATGGATGATTACAGTCTGTGATGTTCTCATTGTCCTTCACATTAATTTGCCAAAATCTTTTGATCAACCCTGTACAAGTTGATTGTGCTTGGACTTCCTTCAAAATTGACAAAGGTTTGTTTTGTTTGATATTAAGAAAATTTGGCAATTTTCGAGGCTCTAACTCAAGAACTCTTGAGAGGAGGAAACTAATGCCAGTTGAGCGACAAGCTGATTGGCATCTTTCGATTGCTGGTTGTCTGTTGGTGGTGAACTGAGGAAATATGGGTCTTTTGAAGCAGATTTAGTTTTAATTGCCAAGCTAAATTGATATAGCTGGGGTTCACATCTGCGAACTTGGGCAGCCCCTTTCGCTCACTAAAATTTCTGTGTTCTTTCTTTGTTTGTTACTGTGTTTTAGCTTCCGCCTGCATCATAAGTACTTGTGTAAATATGTATTTTGATAACCTTTGGTAGTTGGTAATGGAGATTTTTTAAACTTTCCCCGAATCTATTCTGATGTATTACTTGTGTAAATATGTATTTTGATAACCTTTGGTAGTTGGTAATGGAGATTTTTTAAACTTTCACCGAATCTATTCTGATGTATGTATGTAGGGATAAAGTCTTCCGGTACTCATCCAAAGGAATGGTATCAAATACAAGCGGTGCTTCGAGTAAGCATGGGGAATTTCTTGTTTTTTGCAATACTTGCTCTAATAATGATTGGTGTGAAGGATAAAAACGATAGACGTGATTCATGGCACCATGGTGGTTGGATAGCAAAGATGGTCATTTGGCTTTTGCTTGTTGTGCTCATGTTTTTCCTTCCTGATTCTGTCATCTCCGTCTACGGTCAGTTTTACTCTCATGGTTGGAATATCAATTTAAATCAGTTATCATTATTTCTGGTTGTCAATCCAATACAACAATTGAGCAGGAAATTATATAGATAAGGACCGACTTTCTTATTGGAATTTTAATTATTTTTCCATGCTTGGAACAAGCTTGTTCTATTGTGAAGTTACATTGGGCAGACGGTTTGGGATTTAAGGACCCATCATTTTATAGGTTCATTTTAGGCCTCATTGATAGGTCAGATCTGATCAGATTTGCGTAAGACTAAGGAAAATTGGTGGTGCTTGGATTGATAAATTGCACTGAATGGCTCTTAAAAGAACTTCTATAGAAAGGACATTTTCTGATTGGCATTTTAATCATTGTTCCTTTCTTGTAATGAGCTTGTTCCATTGTGAAGAAATTTAACTTACATTGGACAGATATTGGGGTTTGTTGGTCCATCATCTTACATGTTCATGTAGGATTTGCTAACAGGTCAAATCTGATCAGCTATGCATGAGGCCAAGGATTTTTTTTCTTGGAACCTTGGATAATCTTTTGTCCTAATTTGTGTTCCTATGATGATGATGAAGATACCTTTAGGCCTGTGGCAGTGCCATTTCTTGACTTGGATTCATGAACTGTTACATGTATTTGATCTTTCCTCCTATTTGATTCCAAAACTCATACTTGATGAACGCAAACAAAATATTCCTGCAGGAATTTTATCCAAATTCGGGGCAGGGTTATTCTTATTGGTTCAAGTGATTATTTTGCTGGACTTTACCCATACATGGAATGATGCATGGGTTGAGAAAGATGAACAGAAATGGTCTGCCCAGATTCCTATATCTCTTAATTTTCCATTTGATTGCTTTTGATGGATCTGTTAAGTTGCCATTGCATGTTTTCAGGTATATTGCTTTACTTTCTGTATCAGTTGGATGCTACCTAGCAGCATTTACTTTCTCTGGCATTCTCTTTATGTGGTTCAATCCATCTGGACATGACTGTGGCCTCAATGTTTTCTTCATTGTCATGACCATGATTCTCGCATTTGCTTTTGCTGTGATAGCATTACATCCTGCGGTAAGGATAAGATTGTGTTTTCTAATTACGCAAGTGAACATGTGTGTTTTTTATTATTCATTAGTGCCAGTCAAAATATCTGATATTCAAAAGCAGCTCAATCTGATTAGATATAATTGCACAATTATATGGTGTATTGTATGTTATGTTGATTCTTAAAGCATTGATTGTTTTATTACTGAAGCCATAGAATCATGAAAGATAATGTACTTAAAGAGACATATTAGAGAAAGCTCGACCATCCATTTGCAATTCTATTACTAACAAGGCATTATTTTAGTTATACCAATAATTGCTGTTGGCCACGTTGACCCAAATTTCCTTAATGTGAAACTCTGAGTCCTATGTTTTCAGCTAGACAGTCACAATTTGTTATAGCATTTGGTTCTGCCAAAAGGCATGCGATTTAAGTGTCTTCACACAAGTCTTCTTAAAAATTGTACTTGTCCAAGATAAGAATCTTGTGCACTCACTGAGGAAGTAACAGATCCTCAAATGTTAAAACCAGAGAAGTTTTTGTTGCTTTTAGTGAATATGATCATGAGTGGAAACTACAAACAGGTGAATGGCAGCCTCTTGCCTGCTTCGGTGATATCAATTTATTGTGCATATGTTTGCTACACGGGTCTCTCCAGTGAACCCCATGACTATGCATGCAATGGTCTGCACAACAAATCAAAAGCAGTCTCCACAAGTACGCTTGTCCTTGGGATGCTCACGACGGTTCTCTCAGTTCTATATTCTGCTGTTCGTGCTGGGTCTTCAACAACATTTCTGTCACCGCCATCCTCTCCCAAGGCATCAGGTGATATTTATAGCTGGAAAAGAAAATAGTAATTTCTTAGGAGGAAGTCTTTTTGCATACTTATTGTTTCTGTACATTGCTGAATCTTATTCTGTTCTGTAGCTGGAAAGAAACCGCTCCTAGAAGCAGAAGAATTGGAAGAAGGGAAAGAAAAGAAGAAAGAAGCAGAAGGCCAGCCTGTCAGTTATTCTTATACCTTCTTCCACCTGATATTTGCACTGGCTAGCATGTATTCAGCTATGCTTCTTTCTGGATGGACCGACACATCTGAGTCCTCTAGCCTAATAGATGTTGGCTGGACTTCAGTTTGGGTCCGAATCTGCACAGAATGGATCACTGGTTTACTCTACATATGGACCCTTCTTGCTCCACTGTTTTTCCCCGACCGCGAGTTCTTTTAGGTATCATGATGTGTTGATAGTAAGTTTGGTGGACAGTCCTAGAACACTGTTAGTAGTGAGTTGTTTGCTGGTTTATAAAGCTGGTTGTATTTTTATTTATCATCTGAATGTGCTTCGTTTAATGTTGTAACAACCTCTGTTTAAGCCGACTTTCAATGCAAAAGAAGAAACGAAGAGGATGTCTGTATAGAGTGGAAATTGATGAATTTATTGTTACTTCACTTGGAGACTGTCAACCGTGTGTTTCATCGAATTTCCGTTTACTTCCTCTGTTGTGCATTACTTAACATGGAAACTCCCCTATGGATTCAGCAGCACAAGCTCTAACCTGGAGATCTTGATCATCAGTTGACAGAAACTGAAACGTCTGTCAAACCTGCAAAAATATCTTCCAGGACTACCCCACCACTTAAAAATCCCTTTGGATTAATGTTACTCGAAGCTTTGAACCAAGAATAATTTGGATCGTTAAGACCACTAGAATCAAGACAAGGCTTAAGAACTGCATGTGTATGCTTTGTTTGATGATGTCTATTTTCGATGTTATTTGTTAAGTATGTCATAATATGAAACCTTATTTAGTTACATTTAAAGTTTGAAATTTACTGAAGTGATTGTTCCTCTCTAATTTCACTTCCAAGTATGACAGATTCCTCGAATGTTTTATGGATGGAGAGATTCTTATTAGCATTCCCTGTCAATCATGTGATTGATCTTCTTGTAGGCCATTTTAGTTTTAAAGAAACTACTTTCTTTGTCATCTTTCTTGAACAACTTCACGGGAGTCATATGTCGGAGGATTTTTATCACATCAAACGACTGTCAGGTTCTGCGGGGAGTACGTGTGGGAAAGACATGGAGTCATGGACATCAATGACAAGTGTCGACCTACGTTGCTCCTGATCAGTTCATTGTTTCATCCATGGTCGTTTTGTCTTGTTCCTGTTGAATGTGATTCATTCATGTTTTTAAAATATTTTTTTATTTTAAAATATATTAAAATAATATTTTTATATTAATATATCAATTCAATCTAAAAATATAAAAAAATTAATTATAAAAAAAAAATTAATTAAAAATAATTAGACCTACCTTGCCAAACACACCTTAATAAATAATTTATTAATATATCTATAGCTTTTACGTTGTGTGATTTATATGAGGAAATTTTCTAATCTTATACTTTAAATTTATAAGATATGAATTGTATAAATTTAAGTGATGAATGTTTCTTTAAGACAAATTCATTACTCAAAATGGTTGGACAAGATCAGATTTGAAGAAGGATGATGGATATAGATATTTAATAATTAAAAGTGGAAACACTATTTAAATTATTTTTAAAAAATTAAAAATTTTAATTATTTTAATACATTAATATTAAAAATAATTTTTTAAAACTAAAAAAATATTATTTTTATATATTTAAAATAAAAAAATATTTAAAATAATATTTTAAACTAAAATCACTATAACATTATTAAACACAACCTTAAAAAAAAAAAAATCCCTTTCTCATTTCCAATTCCATTCCATGCTTTCCACGGAAGTTACTCCACGTGGATGGGACATGAGGCTTCATAAAGCTAAAATGCTAACAACGCCTTTTATCATAGCTTTAGCATCATAGCCAAGGTTTTTTTTTTTTTTTTCTCAATTCATTGATATGGAGTAGATTAATAAAATTAAAAGTAAGGACTTTGTAATTATAAAATTAAATTCATGCATACACTGAATTTTAATATAACTCTAATGCATGGTTAAATAGAAATGATTAAAATAAAAAATTCAATAAATCTTTCAAAGGATCATTTGTTCCAAAAATATCTTACTATATGTATATATATATATATATATATATAGTCAGTCCCGAGTTTCCCATGAAATGGGGTCATGTTTCCTATCGTCAATTGTCAGCAATTACTCTGTTGAAGAAACGAATAATTCCTTTTGTTTTTCTTCAAAAAAGAAAATTTCAAAAAAAATGACATGAATTTATTTTATTTTTTTAAAAGGCCAAAGTCCTTAATTCTCCCATTCTCATTCCCCGTACGTGCTTCCCACTGCCCAAGCCGACACATGCCCTCCCCAGCCTGTAATCCCCCTCGTCATTCCCATTCTCTATCTATTGTGAATAAAACATGCATGCTTGCATGCATACATACACCCTTCTAACGATCAGTATAGTTGCAGGAGAGTTGCCTTTGTGCGAATGTATAATGGCATGGCAGTACGGGCGCGTGCGGAGACTTCCCAGTTGTCTTCTAGTAGAAAAAAGAAAATGGGAAAGTAAATAGAACTCCTCTTAAAAATGAAAAGTGAGCTCGTTCTCCTCTTAAAAATGATATAAGAAAGTGAGCTCCTTTTTCTAAAAACTAATATATATATTTGGATCAGTTTATATATATTTTAATTAATTTTATAAATTTTAAAATTAATAACTATATAAATTTTTAATAACTTTAAAATTTATAAAACTTGAATTATTAACATC